CTTGGCCACAAATTTTCGTTTTATTTCGTTCTGTAGTCGTCTATCTTAATAAACTTATTATGTCGTAAATGTATATTAATGTCTCTACACAATGGTGAATAACACGTCTACCTTTGCTGCCAGGCCTTCAAAGTAGGCCAACCATAAGGGATGTCATCATCGCACAATGAAATGTTTGAATATTCAAATGAGAATTCGACGATTCCGATTGGTCAATGTCGTCTATGTATTCAGTTAACATGCGTCCATTGTTTTGTGTTATCACGTTACCTTAAAAGCGAAGATAAAGTACTGAACTTTCCGAATGGTTCTTTTGGGAAGGTACATGCGAGGATACAAAAGGATTTTTTTTTTCCAATTTTTCCAAAATACTACGACAGAAAAGGTTTTTTGTGGCATAGTTTGGAAAAACATGCATATTAAATTTTGTGCAGAATTGGAAAGAAAATGTTCAAATTCGAGATGACAAAATAAACAATCAAACCCAAATCATTTTATATTTCATGTAATTATCGACCCGAATAAATACAAATGACTCAAAAAGTTTTTCGTTGTTACAGTATGGTTCCCGATAAACAACAGATATGTGGGAACGTATGTTAGTAAACACCGATGGGACTTCCTTACATATGGAGCATACAGATGTGACGCTAATAGAAACCCCTGGAAACACAGAATATTTCGCTTTCAGTGTAAACGTCCAATTATAGGACAATATGTCAGCGTAAAAAACTTTGACTTTACTGACCCCGACCACAATCATGGCTACTTTCATTACTTGGAAATAGACGAAATACAGGTTGTTGGAAGATGTAAGTATCACAGTGTTCTTCAAATATGTCAAAAACAAACTAAATGCAAATAAAACATCACCGGCTTTGCAGGCGTCAATTAGTTGTTAGTGTAAAGCAAACGACGATAACCGTATCGACACACTCAGTCCTGCTCCTTTGAGAATTTACGTGATTCTTCCAGTTTTTGGTTTTTTCATTTTGATATGTATCTCCTACAAGGATTACTGAGATTCCAATATCAGTAAAAACTGTTGCTTTTTATTACCTACTAAATCAGCGGCATGCGATACAATTATCATTACCAGACAAAAATGTTATGGTCAGTAATTTAACTACGCCAGGAATATGTCAGATTGAAAACAGTTGCAACGATTGACCAGTGACAGATCAATGTACTTAGTACTTGTGTGCAGTCACGTAGATTTATTTAAATAAATGCGAGTCGTTGCGTTCGGGGTTTATCAGCGTTGTACCTTATATCTACTTTATTCAGTATAAATTGATTTCAAAAAAGACGTTAAATTTGAAAGAAATGTGTTCTGATATGGAGTTTCAAATTAAACAAAAGAGCCTGCTAAATGATTTTTTTCAACTTATGAATTCATTACAAATGAAGAGGCAACAAATGAATTTTTACTTTCAACGAAACCTTGGAATTAAGGATATATTCCAAAAATGTATTTGCATAATTTCGGATGTCAGTACTGTACAGTTATTTTCTTTTTTTCAAGCCTTCTTACTTATTGTTCATTTGCTGCTTCATAGAACATATAGCTGTTTGATGTACTGTTCTTATCATCAATTTGAATTTGCAATTGACTTGGGCATTTAAAAAAAAACTTATCACGGTTGTTGTTCCTTTGGACAAAGCTTCAAATAATATTGTCTTGGTATGTAAATCGTGCTACTACCAGTGTCTTGTAAAAAAATTAGGAATAAATGAGCACTCAGGTAATCCCACATACCATAAACATATCATTTGACAAGGAAGAGATTTTGGCGAATCATAAGTCCTTCATGGCTTCAATGAACATCACATTGAACAGCAAATCTCAGGACTTACCTTGTTTGTATTGAATACTAAGCTTCACAAAATTTCTTTCAGACAACGGTACATTGCCGGCTCATCAGCATGTTCTACAAAGGAACTGTCTATTAGATTGACAAAAATTCTGTCTGCAGTGAAAGAGGGCCCTCAGAGATACTGTGACACTTTTTACTCGCGTAATGGTATTAACCGTATGTGGATTCTTAAAACCTCTAAAGAACTTCTTGATAATTTTAAAACTCAATCTTTCTTTGAAATTAATTCTATCAAAACTTTTGAATTTTCAACCGTGTATACCACCATTCCCAATATGAAATTGAAACATCGTCTATAAAGAAATAATCCACAATGCTTTTCATCATAAAAATGGTAGCATACTCTGCTCTTTGGTCGGGTTGTTTTCTCCTTGACACATTAACATTTACATTATCAATTTTACTATAGATTTATTACTTTGGGATACCAAACGGCATATTTTGTTAATATTGAAAAAAGGTAAAACATGCTACACAGTGGAACAAATGATAAGTATACTGGCGTTTCTTATTGACAACATATTTGTTGATTTTAGAGGTAGACTTTTTCAACAAACGGCATTCCTTTGGGAACGAACTGTGCGCCTCTCCTTGTCGATCTCTTCTTATTTTCATATGAATCGGAGTTCTTTCAGACACTTGTCAAAAACAAGAAAATCAAAGAAGCCTGATCATTTAATTTCACATTCTGATATGTTGATGATGTTCTTTCCATAAACAATCAAATAATTTCTGATACGGTTCCATTTAGATATCCGCCAGAACTAGAAATTAAAGAAACAACAGACACGGTTTCCTTCGCCTCATTTTAATACTTATACCTCGAATTTGACATAAGCGGTCATCTCAGTACCAGAATCTATGACTAAGGGGACGATTTTAATTTTAAAATTATCAATTCCCCCGACCTCAGTAGCAATATACCAACTCCACCTGCATATGAGATATACATTTCCTAACTCATTCGGTATTCAAGAGCTTGCTGCTGCTACCCACACATTATAAGTCTTCACCAGTGTCAGAGCAGAAAGTTGATGAACCAGGGTTATGTCAAAGAACGTCTCGTCCTTTTTCTAAAAAAATTCATCGGAAGATACCAAGACATTGTTGATAAATATTCCGTATCAATTTCACAAATGATACAGGATGGTCCTGAAGTATAGATGTTAGGTACTGACGTTGTATTTCATCTTAATAACGTGTTATAGTGTTCTTTTATTTGTCTTTGTAAATTATTTACCTTTACTGTTTATTCCATTTTTGGTAATATCCTATTGGCGTGGACGGACTTATGCATCCCGCCAATGTGTTGTTGTGCTGTCGTAGTTTTTGTATTTTTGTCTTGCATTTTTGCTCATGTGCTTTGTTTTTATGCCATTATGTTTTAAAGTGATTAAGATTATACCACAAGCTGACAGCTGTACCCCTATTTTTGCCACCTATTATGTTTGTTTTGTTCACACATTGTTGTTAATATAATGGAATTTTATGCGACTGTCATACAAATGAGAGGTTTAGCTAGCTATAAAACCAGGTATAATCCACCATACATAAGGAAATGCCTGTCCCAAGTCAGGAATATGACAGTTGTTTTCAATTCGTTTGATGTGTTTGAGCTTTTGATTTTGCCATTTGATAAGGGACTTTCCGATCTGAATTTTCCTAGATGTTCGTTTTTGTTGTTGTTATTTTACTGTTACCAGTGTAAAAAAGTAAATTTACAATGTCGGTATTTTTTTTAACAACTACATCTTGAAAGAATATCATTAAATCGAGATGAAAAGGTACAAATAAATTTATAGAGTAGTTTGATCTTCTGTCAAGAACATTAAACAATTATTGTTTAATATCACTATTACAAAATCCATCGAAAGCAAAGTACGGAAAACTGAGGTTATGAGATAATGGAGATATTTGTAACAATTAAGATTGCTTTTTTGATAAACATTGATCGTAAAGAGAAATCGGTGTTGCTGAGTTTTAAAACAACTTCTTATTGATATCGGAATGATTTAGTTGACCATTATCTTTATCACCTGGGACACCAACACGCTCAATGATTTTCGTATTATAAGGTAATTTCATGTCGCAATGCAAACAATAACAATCCACAATAGCTGCTATTTTTCATTCATTTTTACTATGCGATCAACTTTCTTTTGATGACGTGTTCAATGTTTTCATTTGCTGAATACGATTTTAATCTTTTCTTGATTACCTTAGCAACAATGTGCGGACGGCAACTTGGACTAATTACTGGTGACGTCCATGATTATCAGATTGAATCTTCATCACATAAGGACAGTGATCATCAATTTACTTTTGGTCGACTATATCGTCCTGAAAATGGGTGGTGTGCAAGTTCCATTGATAATACCCCATGGTTTATGGTAAGAAACATACATTTTTATGTGTTTCTGGTAGTGGGGTGTGTGTGTGTGTGTGTGTGTGTGTGAACAAAAGCAGGGGTAATCGATTGAACAGACCAGTTCATGAAAAACAGTTAACGTTCAGAGAAAATCTTAAAATATCTTTATTGTTGAATAACTTAAATTTTTGTCGCATAAAGTCGAACAAAAATTTTTTTAACTTTAGGTGATATACAAATATTGTCTCAGCACATGATCTTAATAAATTGAATAACGTAGATTATTTGTTCATATATTTATTTTCCTGTTAAGTAAATTAAGGCAACAGTAGTATACCGGTGATGAAATGTCGTAAATCGATTTGGAATAGACAAATCAAGAAAACAAACAAAATCTTAGGGGGTCACTATAGAATAGCGAGAAGGGCGAGTCGACAAGAAAAGCATCTCCTGCTATACATACATCACCCGCCATGCCATATTTCACTCAGTCAAAATGTCGTTATCGGAAAAAGCACGCAATCGCTAAAATTACAGATCAGATGACTATACTTGTATCTAAATATCTAAGATCGCGATGTCTTCAAAGATATTGTTATGTTTTCTAGGTAGATTTGATAGTTCCCTTGAAAGTACAAGGCGTAGAGCTACAAGGAATTCAAGCCGGACAAAATGTTAAACTTATAAATTCTTTCAATATTTTACACGGAATTGATAGGAACAATCTTGCTACCTACGAGGACCCAAAGGGAACAATGAAGGTTAGTTGTCTCATTTAAAGATCACATGACCCTTTGGTGTTAGCCTTTATTCTTTTTACATATCCACATAAATTATATCTGTTTATATTGGGTGAAAAATGTGTCAAACCCTTTTATCGTTTATATATTTTGAAATTCGGTAAACATGGTAAATTTCTATAGTTTCAATAAAATATAGATAAACTCATCATAGATACGAGGATAAGAATTTTATACGCCAGACGCGCGTCTACAAAAGACTCCTCAGTGGCCCTCGAATCAATCAAAAAAAAATTCAAAAGGCCAGATAAAGTACGAAGTTGACGAGCATTGATGACCCAAAAATCCGAAAAGTTTTACAAAATACATCTATTTCTTGGGTAGAAAATCCTAAGTATTTCGAAAAATTCAAATTTTTGTAAACAGTTAATTTATAATTATGACCATATAAATGATCATTTATGACAAAACAGACTTGCTGACTTCTGATAAGAGATCATTTTAAATTTAAATATCTTTTCGGCATGATCAATTTTTATGAACCAGGATTTATTTCTGAAGCGTATTTCCTGGATGATTTCGGTGGATTCTAGTAATTTTTGATAACCAAATACATAATGTATAAAGGAGCATTAAAATCTATAAGAGGATAATCATACAGTGACACCAAATTATCGTCGATTGAATTTGTATGAGATATTTGCAATACAATAAAAAAAAAAACTTAAACACTATGATATAGGGTGGATTCTTCCAACGGTAATTGACAGTAACGAGAAGTGGCGTCGACCTAGTAGTATAAAGCATAATAGCTAGTGTCGATACCAGCGTGCGACATTCGTGTGTGGAATACGCTTCATTTGGTAGGCTCAAAATGACCAAACACATTGAAGCCCAATATGATATAGGTGCTAGTGAGACAGTCAACGACCACAATCGCTGCATAATAAAGTAAACTCAATTGAAAAATATGCAAACGCTGTTATATAAGGAATTGTCAGTAATACAAAAATTGCCATTGAAGATCAAAAGCTACAAACGGACTATATTTTGCTCACTTCGGCATGTTCATTATGTACAGAGACACTATACCATGGACAAAACAATATTAAATAAGGAGATATGGTATGATTGAGAATAAGACAACTATCCATCAGATTCCAAATAACATTTTAGTAATTATAGGTCAATGTACGGTCTTCAACAAAGAGTAAACCCATACCGTATAGTTGGGTATAAAAGGCTACAATATGATTGATTGATTGATTGATTGATTAGTGTTTAACGCCACTTTCAACACTGTTGTGCTATTGCATGGCGGTCAGTTGTTATTGCCCGAGTCCCCGAAGAAAACCTTCGGTAGGGAACTGATAATCATAACCAATTAAGATTAGAGTCGAGTGCATCCGTACGAGCGGGGTTCGAACTCACAACCTCAGTGTTAACTGGCGAGTGATTACAGTAGTTGAACTACTTCGACCACTCGGCCACCTAAGCCCCGGCTACAACATGACAAAATGTGAAACATTTCAAACGAAAAAAAAAAAAACGGCCTGATTTATGAAGAAACATTAAACGAAAAACAGATATAACAGACAGTAACCAATAACAACCACCGAATCGCAGACTTGGGATAGCCATATTAAGAATGGGGTAGTCTTAAACGTGTTTGTGAGCGCTCAACCATTCCCTAATCTGGAACAACAGTACAAAATAAAAAAAACTGTAAAAATCCGTTCAAAACGGCTTGACTCATAACATATAGATCGACACACGACAAAAATAAAATCAACTAAAAAAAAACGAAAAAGATACAAAGTACCAATCTTAGAGTACTCGCAGTTTTTTTACACTCAACCAAATTTAGTTTAATTTTAAGTTTAATTTGTTTTATATTGCAACAGGTGTTCAAAACTGATCCCTCAATAGGACTATCAATTCAGCAATTTGTATTCAACACAGAAATTTACAGCCGGTACATAAAAGTTGTCCCACTTGAATACACAGATGCATGTTTAAAGCTAGAAATAATTGGCTGTCCAAAACAAGGTAAGAGCACAAAGTTATTTGTAAAACAATGCAAATTTAATATTAAATATACTAATTCAAACATAAATGCCCTATAACTTTTGTTTCAAATCATATTAACATTGCATATAGACAGCATATAAATACACATGGTAAAAACCTTACGTATGACATCGTCAGGTATTGTAAACGAAAAAAGAGATCAAACTTTTATGACATTTGTTTTAATACAAGTCAGGAAGTACATGTAAAGGGAAACGAAAAGTAGATTTTAATGAATCAAAATAAAGGAAGAGCTAAAGATACTTTAGCTGTCAGTTCACCAGCCTGATAAGTTTTCCGCACATTTTCTTTTATTGTTCAACCTACTGAATTAGCGATTTGGTATATGTGTATAATAGTACACAACCGAACGAAGACAAAAACCGAAGGATACTTGAGGCTTGTACTTCCTCCGAAAGCTGTCAGTTCGTCAGCCTGATAACTTATCTGCAAATTTTTATTTATTGTTCAACCTACTGAATTAGCTATGTTGTATGTAGTCAAATTATTACAAGTGCAGATCGAGTTTAACATTTGTTCCGGTTGAAATTTTTGACTTTTAAAAATATAACATTTCATGAAAATATTATTTTTCGGAACTGTTTTATGACACACCTGCATCAATTGATAAAATGTTTTAAGAACATTATCATATCATCGGAAATTACAGATCAATTTTGAGTTTGTTTCTTTCTGTTTGAGCAGGAGTTGTGGTTCTTGAATATAAAAAAATGTCAAAATAACGTAAAACTATCTGTTGTTCAAACATTTATCTGGAATGCCTGAATCAGTTGGTATTAATGTGATATATAGTCGAATCATAAGAAGTCACCGATAAAATCGGTGTTAAGTTTTCGATTTCTTACGGAAATGGTTACCTTTGGACATAGATAATTTACCAATTAGATAAATAATATCATAAAAATTACTCAACAATGGAATGGGCTTGGGTTTATCAACAATTAAAGATAAATGGTCGGACAGCATTAATGATCATATTGAAATTTTCAACTAAATCAGTAGAAAGGAGACAGGAGACGATAAGGCGGCATTCAAGAACAATTCTTACTAAACACCCACAAGATGTCCTTCTCATTATAATTCTTGTACCATTTATGTGTAAACTTATCCAGTCTTTTTGCTGGTAGAGAACACTGCATATCCAATACGTTAGAATGTAATTGTTACTTGCCGCTGATCAACTTATACTCATTAAATTTTACTTTTTTCATATCATTGAATTAATTATTTCATTTTCAACTTTTAGGACTGTTAAGGGTTTTTCTATTGCAGAATAGAAACTTCGTCACTTGTTTTTGCATAATTCTACTTTAAGATTATGAATCATTTTATATCATTTTTCAGCAAGACGTGATTTGTGGTGCAAAAATTACAATTACGATTTCGGATTTGAGGTTCTACCATACCATGCGTTTTGGATGAACGTAGATCATGATGTTATCCGCATGATAAAAAAAGATGTCGATATTCAGCAATGTATTGGACACTGTCAAAATATTACATGCCTTTCCTTTTCATTTGATTATCACGAAAAAAAATGCGTTTTGCATATGGGTCATAAATACACACGGCAGTTTCGAAAGTGGTGGGTAGATAAAGTCGATATCGGTAACATCTATTACCAAAGATTGTGTTTTAAAGGTTAGATTTTTTCTTTTACTTCTTTTACATTCAAATTCTAATTTAGAAAGAATAATTTTCAACAAAATTGGGAAACGATACCAGAAGGAATAAATCTGGCATACGTATGGTCCAAAGACACGAATTACCTCCAATAATTAAACAAAGATAAAAACCTGCATACTAGCTTGACTGTTCGAAGCATATACATTTCAACAAGTCTAACTGTTTTTATTTGAGATCCACTAACGCGTCTGGTGAAGACCAAACGCAAATGAACAAAAGTAAGATGAAAATGTTCTTCAATTGTACATCAAAACACTACAAAGAAAACTACAGATTGAGCCACATTAAAAGGATAATTTTTCAAATATGAAAGTTATTGTGCAATTAAGTTCGTTTTTAGACAGCTGATGACTAATTAAGCCTTCAAAATGGGTGTATATGAACATCAAGATTATTTTTACATGTTTTATGGGCTATTATTTTTTTTTGGCGGTCCGTATTTTAATATCCAGACCGGCCATAGGTGCAGAAATTATTGTTATGTTTACAAACGCTTTTTTTCACATGAACGTTTTAACGCAATTTTACAAAAAAATGAGATGAAAGACCAATGAGTTTATTTGATCTCTTAGTAGATATATCGATATATCTTAACAGTTTAGAAAAAGGTATCAATCTAAGGAATGGAATTCAACTTTTAAAAACTTTGGGGAAATATGTGACATTTTCACACCCCGTTTAGCAAAACGTTATAGCAAATTAGTGCAGATTGTTGCCATGGATACACCAAAAAGAAATTACATTTAACCATTTTAACTACTGGAAATCAAATCTATGGAAGATACTGGTTACATACATATGCAAAAATATATGACACAAATAGTTAGCTTAATTTGTAAGAAAGCAATGAAAAGGGGATGGTGAAATTTAAGTGGGTATTTTTTTCTAACTGTACAATGCTACTGTATTCATGCTGTTTGGACAGGGTCAATAATTTCTGTTCTATTATTGGAAACCACCGAGCTGCTCACGTCAAAATACATTCAACAGTCATGTCTAATTGGCAATCATTTCTCATCTCCTTGACTTATATAGCAGGTGATAAATGTTTTTACTATATGATTAGCTAAAGGTGTAGTAGGTGTCAGTTAGATATTTTTTAAATTTCGTTCTAAGATAAACATTAATTTCGATGTAGTGTCAAGTTAATGAGCAAACTTTTGTCATTGATTTTTGTTTAATTGTTTATTACGCAGGTATATAGACGTTTACTAAAAAGATTCGTAATAGTTTTACTCATATTCATTAAATTTGACTTTTGAAAACATTTAAATTTACTTATATATACTAAATATACATCGTTTTCATCTTATCTTTCAGAATTCTTAGAAGTTAACGAATGTGGCTCAAAAATGTTTCTGAAAAACGAAAACAAAACAACAATTTTATCCCCGAGTTTTCCATTGAATTATGGTCAGGGATTAAATTGTGTTTGGTCTATTCAGTCTGAAATGTATGTGGAGATTGAAATTGTCTATATCAAGCTACAAGAGAAAATGTTAGTGAATGATGTTCAAAAGGTCAGTATGACACACACATAAAATGCTTTACTAAAAATCAATAGCATGGTGTGCTAAAAAATAACTCTTCTTCTCATAATATATATTGGCCTATATTTTAAATGGACATAAAGTGATGCTTTCCACTTACACAAAGAGAGAGAAGTGATACTAAGGGGGGTCTCAAATCATTTGCAATAGTACAACGACACCCTGGCTTATTATAAAAATAACGAAAAGACAAATAACAAAACGTTACACAGAAAGCAAAAGATAGAGAAAACGACACCACCACGATAATTGATTTGGACACACTTCCTGTTCCACATGTGTCGTGTTGTTCATGGAAGTAAAAAATCCAGGCATATGATGCATTTTGTGATGTAAAAAACGAGGAAAAGAGGATAGATTTGTTATCGCGACAATTGGAACATATGCATGTTGCACAGATATTTGACAACGTTGTATCAAACATAAAACATTCAATGGGATAACTTCACCTTTATCATTTGAAACCTTTTTGTGATTGCTTCCTTGTTTGCTTTTATCAAGGAAATCATGGAAGAAAACGTAAGGTCTAGAGTATCGCATCAACTGAAAGTTGAACGGATATGAGACATGTCTAAAAACGAGTGGCGAAGATACCAAAAAGACATTCAAACACATTAGTCGATCATAAACTGACAACGCCATAGCGACAAAATACAAAACACAACAATTAAAACTAAAGGCTGAGCAAAACGAACCCAACCAAAAAACCGGGGGTGAACTCAGGTGCTCCGGAACTGTAATGTAATATAATTTATTTCAATATCAATAGGAAAATGTAGCGTGATTGCCAATGAGACAAAGAAGTTCATTTGAAAATATGCAGTCACCAAATTTTGAATTATTGACACTATCTTTTTAGCGGATAATGAAGTAAAATGATAATGTAAGCTTCTAATCATATAATAGGGACAAAAAGCACAAAAGATACATCACTAGTATGTGAAATTTAGTCTGAAACGGTCATTCTGATCTGAACTGGTTCTAAAAAGTCCGAATAATAAATGATTTGGAAATGTTCAACTTTTCAGTCAATTTTTAGAGTTATCCACTGCGGTAAATTCAGGACTGTTGAGTAGCATTTCAGACAAATCTGTATGATGTTGATGTGTCCGGGCAAATATAAGCCACTGAACAGTCTGAACATAGACTAGCCAGAAATTAATTGACTGCTAGCGAAATATCTGAACAGTACTGATCGTACCGCAGTAGATTAGTCTGAAAATTAACCGAAAAACTGAAAACGACGTAATCATCTATTGTTCAGTCTTTCAAGAATTATTCAGATCAAAATGACCATTTCAGATCAAAATTGATTTAACAGGCTTATAAATTTGCACGCAAGACGCGCGTTTCATCTACAAAAGCCTCGTCAGTGATTCGAACAGACAACCACACTGCATTAACCCAGCTAGAAGGAGTATCCACAACTTCTCCCCACGTTTTTTCCATTGTATGGCATAATCCGTTACTGTTACAGTCAATCGATTTTGGTTAACGGTATTTTGGCCAGTTGCGTTACCTTATACATTTCTTATAAGGTCAACAGTTAAAACGTGGGTTATATTTGAATAAGGAACTTGCACAGGTGCAATGAGTTTGTTCATACTTGAAGTTGTCAATATTGAGATTCTGCAACACTTGTTTGTATTGGAACATTTTGGTCGCACATAACACAGGTTTATAAATCTGAAACCTTATTTGTTTGTACCTTAGATGGGTGTGTACGACATTAATCCAGGAGATTGTGAAGACACCTTGAGTATCAGAGACAAGAGTGGCTATACAAAGAATATTCTTCCATCGGATCAGAAATTGGGTGGAGTCAAACTAATATCGGTATCAAATGAAATGACGATACAGCTCTCCACTTGTTTTCATTTTGAAAGAAATAATGCAAAAGCTTTTGAATTGAAAGTATCTATGATTGGTATGTGCCATTTTGTATCATATGTTAAAAAGGTAGGATAAAATACCTATTTGACAATCAAAAACCATAACCCGAAGACAAAATACAATAACATGACGAAAATGAGAAAAAGAACAACAGTTCACAAAACATTACACAGAAAACTAAAGAATGAGCAATATCAATCTACCAAAAACCGGGGGTGCTCCAAATGTTCCTCTTTTACGGTTCCACTGATGACATCTGCTGGTTTACTACTGTTAAAATACATTGATAAGTCCTATCGAGGTTAAAATTTATCATTATTTTTTTGTTCAATGATCAAAATATGATAAATGTTTAAACAAACAAAAACGAACTCCATGGCGAATAAAAAAGGGGCAGTCAATTTACCCTGACTAAAAGTAAACGCTTGACTATATCAACCAAAATGATGACTGAAAAACAACTGTCATATCCCTGACTTGGTACAGTCATTTCTTTCGAAATAAATGGTGGGTCAGACACAAGTTTTACCAGCTCATGAAGTTGTATTTTGTACATGTTGTACAATCAAACACAATATTGGATCGGTTAAAGTCTCTTAAATTGGAAGATTGTCATATCCTGGTTCTGTCGAGTGACATTGTTTTAATTTGAACAATGCCATATCTTGTGTCTTATTACATTTACTTTGCTTAAAAGAGAAAATAAGATTTATTTTTTTTTATGTTGATTTCCAAAATGATTACACATGGAATGTTGCATTTGTCTTTGCGTAAGAAGTTGATTATCATTAAAAAAAAATGTATACACACTTTAGACTTACACGTTGGCTTATATGGTCAGTTCTAAGTACGGATTGTTGTATATATTGGATTTCGGAACTCACGTTAATAGATGCTACGGCCTCAAGATTGTTATTTTTCCGATCTCTACAAATGCCGTCATTTGTCGAACTGTGCGTCCGCTACATGTCAGCGTTTTTTACTATGAGCACGGATATATGTAAAAACAAAATGTCTTCTAAAAGGAGAGAAGACCGTCAGAAATGTTGCAACGACGCAGAATTGTTTATGACGCAAAACATCAATATACATCTAGTAAAGGTTGTGTTTTTCTTTCTTCAGATTTACCTGCATGCGGCGGAATAGATAGTTGTTTCCAGACATGTGAACAGCAATCGGCTTACATATTTACCCCAGGGTTCCCAATAGCTTACCAACCTGGAGACTCGTGTTTTTGGAAAATAGAGGGCGCATACGGTCAATATGTAACATTTTACATTATAAATCTAGATGTTACTGATGATTCCTCATGCGAAAAATCCTTTATTTCTGTTAATGATATTGACCTTCAAGGACGTAGTAAAAGCTTAGGGAAGTTTTGTAAGGGCATTCGGCCTTACAATGTATTGATATCAAGCTGGGAGAAACTCTATATTGAATTTAAAGCTGCAACTGATCTACAAGGAAATGGTGGATTTCTCGGAAAATATGCATTTAAGTCCTTTATACAGGAAACATTTGATTTAGGAAATAGCAGTAAGCATATTTTTGTAAACAATATATTATATAATTCATTTCATTTATAAAATCTATATTAGTTCTTGTATTATTGATCTAGTCAGTGCTTGGTTGTGCTATAGTGTAATACACAACTATTGAAGACCATGTTTTTTTCTGAAATAACTTAATCATGTTAATAGTGATGACAATTCAAGTATAAGAACTACTAACAACAAAAAATCACTTTTAACACACTTTTCAAATCAATCATAAAAAATATTCAAAAGGAGTACATATTCAAAAATGAAGCTAGAAACCAATTGAACATTATAACACAACGGAGGAGGTATCTGGCGTCCTTGGTCAAATGTAGTCTAAATGTCCTTAATGTAAAGTATTACTAAACGAAGTCATTTGGCGTAAAAAAAAAAAACCTGTTGCCCATAACCTACTTGTTTGTTCTATCGTCAAATTTTATATGTTAAAGGTTGTGAAAAAAATTGGTATGGATTTAAAAACAGTTGCTACGGGATGCAGAGAAAGACGTCTGGGGTAACATGGATTGAAGCTGAGAGTGAATGCGAGTTTCAAGGAGGACATCTTGTCAGCATAGCCGATCAATCAGAAATGGAATTTATTCATTACCTTGTCACCGTCCTTAGCAACGACCCAAATGAAAATCGTGCATATATTGGTACCTGGCACTTCACTATAATTAAAAGCGTCAACATACTTTCCTTAACATAAAAAACATTTTGACGCTTAAAAATTCATAATTTAAAAATTTGGCGCTTTTGTGTTTCATAAGTGAAAATTGTGATTTGAAAAATATAGTATTCTCATATAGATCATAAAATGTGATGGATGTTTGAAAACATTACAGAAAAGATAAGGTTTAACCAGAAGGTACGACCTTCTCTTGGAAGCTGTTAATAATTTACACATACAAAGTTTTTTCTAATATAACTAAATTGTTTGAAAAAACAATGGTTCAACTTTATAAGCGTTTTCATTTGTGTGAGAAAATTGCACAAGCAAATATATTACCTCCTACAGCAACTAAATTTTCTAATTCAGTTTTGCAATACTCCCATGTGAATCTATACTCATATAATACCTTTTGAATAAAAACGTCAAGGGATGTCACCACACATCAAGTATTGCACGCATGTACATCATTTGCATTTTCTTTATAACAAAGGGTTAAGGAAGATGACGAATGGATACAGTATTAATGATTACATTTGGTCTGATGGTAAACCGATGACATTTACATCGTGGTAAGTTAACTTTCCTCTCTTTAATTAACAAAATTATACCAAACGTTATCAGGTAAAAAGACTTGTCTTTACCACTGAATGTTATGTATATCCTACGTATGGGAGTATATTTATATAAACGCCTCGAAGAACCCTGTCAAGTATATAGTAATGTCTCAAAAACAAGAATCTCTCCAGTCGTTGTTTTGTGTCATATTTTACTTTGTTTTCGGTTTATTTCATATCGACAATTTGGTGTTTGGATTTTTTTTTTAACTTAATTCGCATCTTTGATTTAATCCTTCAAAGTGGGTTTAGAGGAACATCAAGATTAATTGTTCCATGTTTTATGGGCTGTTTTCTGTTTGACTATCTGTTTTCTCATAACCCGAACGCCCATAGGTCCAGTAATTATTGTCATGTTTACAAATTCTTTTTTTCACACGATTTTTTTGACACAATTTACGAAAAAATGAGACGAAAGACATATGATTTTTATTTGATAGATATATGTAAACAGTTTCAGAATAAGTATCCCTTAAAGGGATTTAAAGTCTACTTATAAAACAATTTTGGGGAAATTGTGACATCTTCACACCCTTTTTTGCAATATTTTATAGCAAATAAATGCAGATTGTTGCCACAAAGAAATTATATTTCACCATTTTAACTACAGGAAGTAAAATCTTTGGAAGATACTGATTACATACATATGCACATATTTTTATATGACACAAACAGTAAGCTTTATTTGTAAGAAAGCAAGGAAAATGGGATGGTAAAATTTATAATGCATCGACAGGTTAAATGTAAGGAGTCCTCACAAAAATTAATAGTTTTCTTGCTTGACAAACTTCATGTTTGTTATACCTACCTGATGATATTTTTCTTAAACCCATTTTTTTAATTGAGTATGAAGAAAACGGAAGTGCCTTAATATCTAATTTAATCTTTTTAGACGATGATATAAAAGCTTTCTTGATAACAATGGAATTATGAAAAAAATGATGTTCAATATAAATTCTGTATATTGTGACACTGAGATGAAATACTCCCCACTTTATAATTACCTTCAAATTTGTCGATTAACAATTAAACTGAGTTGTCGTAAATGGTGGTGCCAAAGGTTGTCAGTATGGGTATATGTTATCATTTAGGTCAGTACAGCCTTCTGGGAAATATAGAGGACCATCTCTACCAATGTACTGCATCAGTGTGAATTATTGGATGCCATTCTGATCAAAGGTCAATTAACATTCTTTACAATATCTTGTTCGGACTATCTTTGTACACATTGTACCATAGTTATATGGATACTTACCATTTTCTTTTTCTCATTCCACTAGGTACTACGATCCTACTTCAGGAATGCAACAGCCAGATGGTTTAGAAAATGAAAAATGCTCAATAATTCAGTTGTTTAGTATTCATAACATGAACGACTGGCATGATGTTGCTTGTGCATATGATAAAATATCTAATTTTATATGCGAAATAGGTCAAGACTTCCCAATTCAAGGTAAGGTTTGTGTTACCTAACAAATAGATTGAACAAAAGAACGAGAAAAGGTTTCCTTTACTATAGCACGTTTTGAAGTATAGACAATGAAATAGGCAGAAGCCATTTGAATCGGCTAAGTGTATGTGAATTAAAGGATTGTTTGATTTGTGTTACTGAACATCGGTGGACAATATTTTATTCGTATTCTAACGGGAAGATACAATAATGGTAGCTTAAGAATCTACATAATACTAGTAGTTCGACTAGGAAGCATGTTGGTAATTCAGACTTCCACTTGAAAATGATGGTATGTTGAATATGTTCAGAAATATTAGCCATGTGAAAGGCCAATTTCTGACCCCTCAAAAAGTTGATGTAAGTTTATGTAACGTGCGGAGAAAATGACATTACCCGTATACGGGGCATTGTGTTAAACTTTCCCTTCCGTTTAGACATGACTACGTAATAACCCATCCTGCACAGACAAATGGTAGACCACTTTACCCAGGGTTTTACTGCCGACTGGGAGAAAAACAGTTATGAACGTGTCATAATACCCCAGTCGACTCAATGAAGATAAAAATGAGAAGAGGGGTACAAATCAATGAGACGGCAACCCATAAATTCAAATTCAGGTAGCATGCAGCATGGCATGTGATACATGATGGACACTGACAAAAATGTTTGCTATTTAAACAGTGTTGTATTTGATAATATTTTATAAATAATTAAAAATTAAAATGATTTTGACCATAATCGTTTTATATGCTATCTTTAGATGACATAAGAAACACGTGGAGTCATGTTCCAGCACAACAAGCAGATGCATTGTACATGTGCGAATCTGGTGAATATATCTTAAATGCTTTTCTATGTGATTCTGTGATAGACTGTATCTCAGGCGATGATGAGCGGAATTGTTGTAAGTATATGTTTGAACCTTTATAACAGTACTGGTGTTTGAAACAAAAAAATAAGACTCAGTTATTTAACAATTAAGATCCAAAGACAAAACTTAAAAAGCACAATCTTTAATATTATTGACAACATAACGTAACAAACAGAACCCTGACCTTAACAAGCAGGCAACAGAGTTTACCAAGCAGTTATATCATTACAATGTATGAAACGTAATAATTGTACATATATATCTATGTTTATATAACCTCGATATGTATGATAAAAGATCAACTTTGGTAGAAAGATTTCAATTCTCATGATTTATCAGGTTTTCTTATAGGGTGAGAAATTATTATCCGTAGTTTTTACACAAGGTGTGAACATATTTTACGTGTCAAATTGAATTTAATCGTATGTCGCAATATGTGACTGGGAAAACATTTTTGCACAAAAGATGGATTAGTAGTTTACTATTATTTAAAACAATCAGTGCATATCTTATTCATTAGACAAAACGTGAGGTTAAATTCAAAATTGTGACGAATGATCGTTTTCAATTTTAGAATTTTAGAATCGTTGAATAATGGTAGCCACAATGATGCTTGCAAAAAAACGGGAGAAAATACAAAAAAAGCCAATCAAACGTTATAGTCGTTAAAAAAACAAAGATTACGTACACACGACAACAAAACAAATGTCAGCAAAAATGGTTTACAAATACAACAGTGAATCCAGTTTCCAAGTAATGGTTAGCCGTTTTTTATTCACTAGAGAAACTCCGGGCTGTATATTAATTATTATACACGTTCACTAAATACAACATTTTCTTTTCCAACGGAACCAGACAGTTGCATGCAATTATGAAAATTGAGTACATTTACCAAACTGTCTACAGATGGAGCATACATTTGTTTCAAAGTTTTGGGATCTAAATTGCATCTTTGTGGGTGACAAATTTGGCAAGAAATAAATATTAATTGATGCGCATAAATATGATCAAATTCCAAAATAAATTACGTGAGATGTGAGGTTAACGTGGTTAAGGAAGCGGGAACCAAACGACAAAAATAACCAACATATGTAGATATGTAGTGGTCAATGTACAATCTTGAATATAAATGGTATATGCCAGATTTTGCACATTGTTTTAAGGTTTAGTTTCCATTGCTCTTCAACAGACAAATTGAGTTTAGTTTAACAATTGTTTTTATTCTAGCAGACGCATATTAAATCATAACCTTAATAATAAAACTAATTAAAGATCTGCCAACAACACGAAACTCGTCAGATAACATTTAAACAGAATAAAAATATGAGATAACTCAACTCCTGAAATCTATTTCAGCATCAATAGATACAGGGGACCAGTTTACCTGTGATGATGGCGACCGTATATCAATAAGTCTTTATTGTGACTTCATACTTCATTGTAAAGATGGGTCGGATGAAAATTCTTGTGGTAAAAATACTTAATCCAATACATGTAGTCTGTTTATAAAAAATAATAACTAAAATTTCCATAAATGTAGGTACTTTGGATTCATTATTATTCGTGGGATACCTATTGTAGTGTATAAAGGTAAATTACATTTTCTGAATGCTTGAATGCATACTTTGGCTGAACCACGAAATCAAACATCCAAAGTACATGTTTGCCTCGAAAATTGGTATCCACGAAATTAAATCAATACACAGTATATCGAATATCAAGTTGTATGCGCTAGGTCAATAGTATTCCAAAGATAGTTGCATATAGTGATCGGTTTTAAGAGCTTAAAGAACTCTGAGTTCACTTGTGATTGAAAAAAAAACCAAGCATATTGATAATAGAATAAAAATTGACATGTTCTTCAATGCATGTACTAAAAGCTTAGGTTCCAGTCGTGCACACGACTAAGCAACCTTTAAGTAACCTAATTGGAATGACAGTTTTAAAAGCAAACATTTGTAAAAAGTCATGGACAAATAACCGTAATTTCGCAATGAAATTAATTTGGAACTCGCAAAAAAAATATTGGGAATAAAAAAAAAGTTGTTTCATTTTGATAATTTATAAGTTGAAAATGACCATTATTAATAACATATAATTATGTAAGAATCGAAATACCGGATATCAGAGAGTAGTACCTGTTTGCACTATCGTCAGATTGACGAAATTTTATTTACGATTGATTAATTCTATAATAGTCATGAAAAACTGATTATTTTCAAAGAAAATACTTAATAAAGTTTTTATTTAGAGAGACGAGTCTGTTCACCCGATGAATGGCAATGTACCAACAGACAATGTATAACCAACCAACAGAGATGCGACTTTGTGGAAAATTGTTTTGACAAGTCCGATGAAACTGAATGCGGTAAATGCATGCATAATTTATGTTTTAAGACCATTTATGTATTGTATGTGTTGTGTATAAAAACAGATATGCCAAAATTTACGAAATAGGCTAACGTTTGCCAATTT